GGAATGATCTTTTAAGATGGCATATCATCATAAAATTATAAATTAGAATTAAAAGAAAATATATATATCAGTATGATAGATATAATAGTTAAATAAAAAATATATATTTATTAGAAAAATTTCAAAAAAAATATTTTTTAATTACAATTATTTATAAAATGACTCGTAAAGTGCTATTCTTGATAAACGCGCCAGAATATAAAAATAAAATTAACTCCTAAAATATTTTCATATTGAAAATGTAACAGCCATCTTTGTGTCAAAATGTCCTTTATTTCATAATCTCAAATGTATACGTATCGGAAGAAATTATTTGTATCCTTTAAACCCTGTATTTAAAATACCTTCCTAGAAGTTTAGTCAAGGAATAGTTAACATGAAAGGGATTAGAAATATGGAAATCAAAAGATTTTAAAGATATAAATTTTAAAATTTTTTTATATATATAAATATTATTTTTATATTAGTCTTAATTTATTTTTAATATGTATTTATTTAAATTATATTCCCATAATATTTAAATAAAATATTTTGCATTTCAAATATTTTTACTTTTATTATATATAAAAAAGCGTTAAATAAAAGTATATCAAAATGCATTTTAAAGTGTATCTAAAACAGTTACAGGTAACTCTATAATAGTATCCAGATACAGAAACGAATTCTTTTTAAATATATGTTTTAATTTATAAATAAAAAAAATTAATGATCATAATATTAAAACTTATTATCCTTTGGGAATGAGAATATACTATAACCCCAATGACATATGATAACACCTAGACTGGACGATGCATTCGTTAAAAGCGTACATCAATGAAAAACAGCTGGGGACGCCATTTTGGTTATCCATTCTTTTTAAAATAGCACATTTTTTAAATAACGTCAATCTGCATCACAAAATTAGGACATGATATATTTATTGTTTTAAATTTTAAAAAAAAAAATTAGAAAATATAAAGTAGTTTTTAACATGAGAATAATTGCTATATGGATTACCAAAATGGCGGCTCCAGCTGATTTGCATTCAACGACGCTTTGAAATGCGTTATTTAGAATGCATCGCCAGGTCTACGTAATATCGTATGTCATTAGATAACCCGTGATATTTGTATTTTTTTCTTATTTTTAGAATATAATCATAATTTAGGCCACCCTAATAAGATTCCATCTTTAACACATTATTCTAAAAAAACTAAAAGTAAATTATATTTGTACATAAGGTTATAATAAATATTACTATTATACTCTAAATACCTGTTTTTAACACAATGGGCGCTAGTGAGAATATATTTCGACTTTATGATTGTTCCTCCACATTTAACGGTTTCAGTACAACTTATGACCTCTATATACGCCTTTTATTTTTATTTTTTAAAAAAAATATGTAAATATTATTATTATTATATTATAATTATAACTTACTATATTATATTTACTTTACACTTTATATAAAAGTAATATACCTAATATTTTATTTTGATATTAATATACATAAGAATGAATTAAGTCACTGATTCAATCTGCTGCAAAAAATAAAATTAAACTTCACTGTCACAATTAATCGTTAAATATTTAATCCTTCTTTCTTTCTTTCTTTCTTTCTTTCTTTCTTTCTTTCTTTCTTTCTTTCTTTCTTTCTTTCTTTCTTTCTTTCTTTCTTTCTTTCTTTCTTTCTTTCTTTCTTTCTTTCTTTCTTTCTTTCTTTCTTTCTTTCTTTCTTTCTTTCTTTCTTTCTTTCTTTCTTTCTTTCTTTCTTTCTTTCTTTCTTTCTTTCTTTCTTTCTTTCTTTCTTTATTTCTTTCTTTCTTTCCTTCCTTTAATTTCTTTCTTTCTTTTTTTTCTTTTCTTTTCTTTTCTTTCTTATATAACAAAAATTCCTAGTTTGTGAACAAAATATTAATGAATGAGAATTTGCTAATTTTTTTTATAGAAAATCTTTATAATACAAATATATATAACCATCCAAGGCCACTCATTAGCTATCGCATCGTCACCTCTCACTAAAGGGAGCACACTATGTCATCCAGCATAGGATACTGTCCATTACTAATATATTCGGAATCTTGCATACGTTCTCTTTTCCTTTCAACTTGTTTTTTTTTTAAAAAAAAATATAAATATTTCGAAATTTAGAAAAATAATATTTTCCTAGGTTTTTTTTATAGCTAGAAAAATTTTTTTATTTCTTGCCCTCTTCTCATATTTATACCAGGGTTAGCAAGTCGGTCAATTGACCAGTCAAATTCAGTCAATTGACCAGTCAATTGACCGGTCAATTGACCGGACGAGTATTTGACCTGTCAAATACTCTAAAAAATTTAAAGGAAAAATAAATTAAAAATATGATTAAAAAAGGGAAAAAAGATGTAAATACATGTGATCACAATGTTTGCTTATTTTTTGTGTCCACAATATTAAGGGGAGAACTCACAAGTATGTGATATAATTCAAGAGTAGTAATTTCCAGAAACAATCAATTTCGACCTCTAGTTATTAGATTAAACTTTGTCCACCCTGCCCATTAATAGACTAACAATTCCTAGTTCTACTTCTATCTTTAGAAAGAAATAGGTCGAATAGGGTTAATATTCTTATGAAAATGGAAATCGATTGAAGATCTAAGACATCAGGAAAATTGATTAAAAAATATTAAAGAATATGATGATATTGAATATGAATCAGAACAAGACTCTACTACAGATAGCTACACGTTAGTTATTGAATGACAATGAATTTAAAAAAATTAATTATAGATTTAATTTTACTATTATTTTAAAAATAAAATTAATAAATAACTTGAAAAAAAACATATATTTGAATTTGACCACATTTGACCGTATTTGACCATATTTGAACCGAAACATATTTGACCGGTCAAATGTCGGTCAATTGACCGAAACATATTTGACCGGTCAAATGCACAACCCTGATTTAAACTAGCGTTGTTAAACGGCCCGATTTGAACCGATTTTTAAGAATGGCTAACTCAATATTATAGCCTAGAGATTTCGTTGATAGATGTTCAAACATCTGTTCCACCTGCGGGCAAAAAATCTTAGGGGCATTAAACATGATTTTCTAATAAATCTGAGGATATGTTAGATTTTGGAAGCAAACCGACAAAATATTGTTAAAAAGCTCAAAAAAAGTCGCCACTTTCTAATAATTATTGGAGTAAGATTAGTGGCCAAAATAATGCTATGGCTGGAGACCCCAAATGGGGCTTTTTAACAACATTGGCAACACTGTCTTCTTCTCATCTTAAGCATGTCTCTCTTTGCTAATTTTTTTTTTTACAAAGCTCTAATTTTATAAACCGGAAGTAATAAGAAGTAACATTTTTTTTTTAAAAAAAATAAATTTTTACGGATTTAAATTTAATATATACAAGTTAAAATGATTCTAATATATATATATATATATAGTTACTTATAGAACTTGGAGTGAAATTGAAACTAGATTCAACCAGGATTATACAGCAAATTATTAAAACAAGAATCATCTTCATTTTTAAAGAATACGGGATACGGACAAAAAAAATAATTTTTTTTTAGCAAGGAGTTAAAAAAAATGTGAATTTATTTAAAACAGGTCAATATTTTAAGTAAATATTTCCCCTAATTATTTACGGTAAAGGGTCTTTTTTAAAATATTTTATTTTCAGAAAATCAGGCTAAAATTAGATGATCAAACGGAATTTACAAGGGAGTAAATTGATTTATTGACAAGAATGATATTAAAATTAGTTTATTTTTAAGATCCCCTAAATGTGCTCGATAATTAAAATATTGACTTTAAATTTTTATATGATATTTTTAAATAATCTGGAATAGGATACGCTATATAGACATAGCGTTATCTTCTCCAAGGATATATTTACCTAACATAAGACTCATTTTATTCTCTTAAATAATCTAACCTTAAGCGTCAAGTGCATTATAATTAATATTGTTTTACAATTTAAACACTATCCTTGCCGGTAACGGAAGTAATAGATCACCTCTTTCTTAAACCTCTCTTCTTCACTATGCTAGCTACCACATAGTAGTATACCGTCCACTATAATAAAATGGGTATACATCATGCATAGGATCTATATCTACTTCTCCGTTATATGACGATACCAGGTTTATTCGGGTAGGCCAGTTTTCCATCTGATTTTTCTTTTCCATTTTTGATGGTCCTGAGCATCAATATTTGTAAGATTTACGATTCTCATATCCGCCGCTATCACATTTGTCCACGTCAACTTGGGCCTTCCCCTAGGTCTTGATCTTCCTACTTCCATCAAGGTGCATCTCTTTACTTTTCTCATATGTTCCACATGCCCAAACCATCTTAGCCTATTTCGTCGCATTACCACTCCAATCATTTATATACCCAATCTTGCTCGCAATTCCTTGCTAGTTTTTCTCTCTCTCAGAGATACTCCACACATCCATCTAATCATCCTCATCTCTATTCTTTCTAAATAGGCTTCGTGAGTAGCTTTAATTGCCCATATTTCGCCACCATAAACTAAACAAATCCTCACACAGCATACGTAAACTTTCCCCTTTAACTACAGACAGACTTTTTTATTTGTAAGAATAGACTACATCTCTCTGTCTGAACTTCTTTCAAGCTTGTCTGACCCTTGCAATAACGGCAGAATCTACACCACCATCTGCGTTTAGCATATCACCCAAATAAAACTTATCCACTAGGGTTAACTCATTGCCAATATCCAGACCACCATTTCTACGTTATCATCATTATATATCCCTTTCATGCATGTTCTACAAATAAAGGTCATTCTTGCTAATATCAAACTTCCTTTTTTCCCGCTACATCTACTATGTACCCATTTCTGGCATTTGGTGCAATGGATTGAATTTCCAGCAACTCCTTTCCCACATGCACCATAAGGCCACTTACCTGATTCCTCCATTTAGATTTTCCCCAACACTCATCACGTTTGTCTTTGGCATTCATTTTCAGGCCCTTTGCTTCCAAAGTCATCTTCCATTTACTTTTTTAACTTTCAATTCTTCCTCACTGTTTGCCATTAATACAAGGTCATCTGCATATAATAGCTCCCAGGGAAGTCCTTCACGCATTTCTTTAGCCACCACATCCATTACTAATATAAATAATAATGGACTCAGCAAAGATCCTTGATGAAGTCCTACCTTCACCTCAAAGCTTTCACTATCACCATAATACGTCCGTACTGGTGTTTGTGCCCCCACATACATTGCCATCACTGCGATAACCAACCATTCCTCTACACCTGATTTTATCACGACCCATCTAGTAACCTCGCGCGGCACCCTGTCAAATGCTTTCTCCAAATCAACAAACGCATAATACAGCTTCTTTTCCATCGCAAGATACTTCTCCTTTATTTATCTCACCACAAAAATTGCATCTGTCCTGTCTTTCCCCGATGTAACACCAACCTGCATTTTATCAATTTTAATTTGTTCCATTATCCGCTTCTCCAACACCATCTCAAATACTTTCATTGCATGTTCCAAGAATTTAATAGCTCTGTAAGACTCGTAATCTAAAGGATCACCTTTTCCCTCGTATACTGGGATAATTGTACTTCTTCACCAGTCCTCGGGAATAGTTCCCTCTGTGGCTATTTGATTGAGCTAAATCTATTAACCATTCAATCCCTAAACATCAGAACCTATATATTAGTGAATATACATGGTGCACGATACAACTCTTGGCGGGTGATAAAATTACACTTCGCGCAATATCTGGCGTGGCAATGAATGAATGAATGATATTAAAAGCAAGTACAATTATCTTATATAGAATATTTTTAGAAAAAAAAAAAGAAGAAGCATAATTCATTCATTTTTACAACTCGGTTTCGTAATACCCGTTTCCTCTTCGCAAGGAAGCCCGACAAAACCTTTGTTTACCGGAATAGGAATAATCCCTTCCCAATCTTTGTTTTTAAAACCTTTTTGAACCTTTATATCAAATCTTAATTCGATTTTCTAAGCTAATTTTACGATGCGATATCTATTTGTAGTGTTGTTGCGACTCGTTTTTGAGCCAACTCAATATTTTAGCCAGAAAAATATAGCTCCAAGTCTCGAGAGTTTTCGCTAATAGTTGTTCAAACCCTTCATTCCTCCTGGCAAACACAATCTTCAGGCTCGCGTAAATGATTATTCTGGAAGAAATGTTGATTTAACCGTCATTTTCAAATCGGTTCAAAACTTGCCGTTTACTGACAATATTTATTTGTATAAAAAATTAAAAGTCATCCTTCACCAAAGTTGATGGCCAAGGAATCCTTTAAATATAGTTCAAAATTATAAGGTTAAATATTTTATTTTTTTTGTGTGATCAAGATGGTCCTCGAAATTGTTCAATTTAGGTAGGCCTCTCATGAGGGATTTCCCATCTTCTGAATCAACAGTTTTTTTTTTGCTACTAAGATTGGGGTGAATATATTGTTTATTTTTTTGGGGGGGGGGGAGATTGGTGTGAAAAATTTTTTGTTAACTTTTTTTTCTAGGCGATATCTACAGAATCGTAAGTTACAACCTAAAATTCCAATACATGTGATCCCCCAATATCACAGGCAGTTTAAAATAATTGTCAACGGAAGTATCTCGCGGTTAAATTTGAATTTTTTTAAAAAAAAATGGAATATTTTGGACGTAAGGATTGCCTCTTTTAATTGAAATTATTTTTATCAAGGAATTCAAGCAATTAGATTTTCCAATCACCCAGAGCTAAAAAAAAACATGTTTAAGATATTGCTGTTTTCTTCCAATTTTTTGTATATTCCAGATGATTCTCGTTAATCAGATTATATTCCTCTACGAAAATAAGATGTAAAATTAAATCCTAATTTTATGTTCTACTGCATATAATAAATTACAAATTTGATTTTTTTTTGATGGAATAGTTTTTTTAAAATATAAGCATTTTGTTAGGAATTATAGACTTTGCCAAATCCTTTAAGAGTAAATTACTCAAGATTTCTTTAAGCCTTAGTTTTAAAAAAATAATATTTTCCTATCTCCATTTTATTATGAAGGGTTCATGTTACCAGAAATTAGTGGTCCTTCACTTTTTTAGAGAATTTTCCGATATAGGTATATATATATTTTTTAAATAAAGTGGCAAAATTATCTTTACGTATCGCTGGAACAAACATGTTTTAGTGATATAACTTTAACAATAGATTGAATACTACAGAATCTATTTGATGCTGCCTCGAATTTCTTGGTGGTATTCAATAGTTCCTTCTTAAAAATAACTACGAGTCCCCACTATCTATTATGCAGCTCACCCAAATTAAAAATCGTATAGGTTAGGACATTGTTTTTTTTATATAAAACTGTTCAGCGGGAGTTCTGAACACATGCTAGATCAATGTGTGTAGAAATGAAAAGCACCCGAAGCTATATAAATTACGGTGACCTAATATTTAAAAGAATAATTTTCAGCCTGTCCGAACTCAGGATTGATCAGTTAGGGCCTCGTGGATTGCATTCAAGTTATACAGGATTGCCATTGTTTTCGAACTGAAAAACATTTTTATATTTCGTTCTCATTCAATTCAAACACCTATTAGAATTTTTACCATTCTTTATAGAAACAAATTCTCATTCAAAGGGAGCATTTTAAAAAAAAAAAAATTTTAAATAAATTTAGAAATCATTTGCACGGATTATGTGAAAATAGAGCCACCCATTTTATATATTTACGAGGTGTGACTAACACTTTGTTTAGACGTGCCAAATATCTTAAATCCTACTTTAAAAATTATATCAATTCCTCTTATCTGGACTTTATCCAGCTAATACGGTGAATTTATCATCAACAACCTATTGTAAAATATTTATTAAATATACAAAAATGAATTTGGTTTTATCTTATAGCTGCACAAAAATAACTAAGTCCTTAATTATAATGAAATATTTTTTGAGTCAGAATATTTTATGCTTCAAGTTCATGGGTGTCGCATCGTATTGTAATAAATTTGTTTAATTATAATATGGTTTTTGATTTAGGGCGTAAAATCTTATTCTATATCATATTTGCTACTAGAGAATGCTTGTCACTGTATACAATTATTTGCAGTCTCTAACTTAAATGTTAGCGATAGACATACTTCACCTCTTGATAAAATGAAAAATGAAAAATAAAATAAAATTTAATTTGAAAGGAGTGGCCTTTACAGCAAAATTGAGTAACTTTGTTGCTTAGGGATTTTAAACGTTTTGCCATCGAGGATAAATTTTATTCGTTAAATTACCACGATTAAGATAAATTTGAACTAGGCATCAGTTGGAACGTTATCATCACCACAAAAAAAAACAGCTGTATTAAATGTTAAACATTCTGCTTATCTGACCAAAATTTTGTAAAACGATAAAAAATTGCCCCAAAAAATGGATTAAAATTAAATCATAAATTTCTAATATACATTTCGGATAATTACATTTTTAATAGGTAAAGAAAATAAGTAACTTTTTTTTAAAAAGAAAGATCGTCGCATTCCCTTTTTTAGATAGTAACGAAATAAGGGAGGTTTTTTTTTGGACGTATCTTAAAACTTTATAGTATATATGAGTATGCTAAGCTCCTATGACATATAATAATACCTAGACTGACGATACATTTATTAAAAGCATACATCAGATGTAAAACAGCTGGTGACACCGTGGTTACCCGTATCATCATTATTTAAAAAAATTTTAATCGAGAGGCCATTTTATTCCTACGTCTAACGCAAACTTTATTAAAGAATCGCGCGATCAAGATGATTAAGTAAGTATCAACTATATGGGTTAACAAAATGGCGGGTCCAGCTGATTCGCGTTCAAAGACGCTTTCACATGCATCATTATGATTGGATCGTCAGTCTGTTGTATTATTATTATATGTCATTAAGCCTCTATGGTTAGAATAAAATTAGGCGAGAATTGATTGAAGCTGTCAGTAAATGATTTTTGGTGGGATGAGTCGTATTTTTAATTTCCATTTTAAATATTTTTCAATTCCTTATATTACACTCCCAAGGAAGGTGAAGGAGATATTGGTTGAACGCTTTCAAATTAATAGGTGATGACAACGTTGTTTATCTGAATAATGTATAAAAAAATTTGTGAAGGCGCCATTTTATTAATTATTTCTATTTAATATTTGTAATGAAATGGTTAATTGTTTTTTTTGACAGATTTGTATCATATGTTTTTATTTATTTTTTTCGGATAAATACATTTTACAATATATGGGATTAAAATCTTGATTTACCACTCATCTCAGCCAGATCTTTTAAATAAGTTCTAATATTAAAAATACAAATTATTTTAGGTTATATTGTCCATTAACAAACTGGCGTGATAAATTATCTTTTTGTGAAATTACAAATAATTCTTATATTTAATATTATGACTTTTTGTAGCAAAACAAATCATTTCATATATCTCCACTAAAACCCCATTGGACCTTGAATAATTATGTATTTCTTTGATATTTAATCAAAAATTTTAAAGTATGGGTGGGCTATTTTGCAATTGGGTTATTTTTATCTCAATAATTATATAAACATAGCTTCAGGGGAAGGGGGGATGGTGGTAAATTTTTAGAAAATTGTATCAGGATACAGGGAATAGATACTTAGAATAAATCTCTAGATTACACTTGTATCTTGTTATTTTTTTTTAAAAAGTATCTAAAATTCAAAATATTTTTTTTTATAAACTTTGTATAGTCAAAATCTAAATGTATACAAAGTTTATATTATTTTTAAAAATAAAATTATTATAAAAAAAAAATCTAAGCCTTCCGAGACGAAATTTACAAGTGATAACTTGCCACGCGACGGTTAAGATATATTCATATTCATTTTTAAACTAAAAGCAAATAATAATTTTTTTTGATCACAATAAATTCATATCCAAATATCCAAAAAGTAATAAAGTATAAACAAGTTTTTTACATAAGAAAATGGCTAAAATAATGTGAGGTGTATATCGGTTGAAAAAAAAGTATCTACCCCCCCAAAATATTTTATGTTAACATATTTTTAGCGTCGATGTGTTTTTTTTTCTGGCGTGTCATTTTTTTCAACTTTAAGTCATTATTTTTTGAGCCCTGATTTAGCCGGAAATGCAGTCATGTTTGGAATAAGCTAACTCTAACGAATTTCAGACAATTTTTCTCAAGAACTTTTATAACTTTAAATATAATTTATTTATTAAATTTTCACCATATACATTTTTTTGATATAAAATTATTAATGACACAAAAGGTTTACTGCAAGATTGTCTTACGAGTCACATGATAGGAATTCCAAACATGTTAAAATATATTTCCGGTAAAAACGCGCTCAAAAATAATG